AACTTTAAACCATTTTAGAGGACATCTATGAGCAAGAAAATTACAGGTAAGGGTTTCCGAGAGTCAATAACAAGGAAATATGAGGCATCCCAAATTTTTCCATGTAGACACGTACAAGCCGTCCTCCTGCTGAGTGTCCAATCAAGGATAAAGTCGCACCTAATACAAGGTTATTGGTGGGGCGTGGGATTTGTAAATTGGTGATGCACAAAGAAGACATGATGGGGATTCAAATGTTCTGTGATGATGAAAAATGGTAGGGGAGGAAGAGAATGAATAATTGCCATAAATTTCAAGGTCACCGGGACTTGTGTTGGCAGAAAAGTTAATTTTTTGCTGGATAGATTTAAATGGTTGATTGAAGTGTTAATCTTTCCATTCTTGCTGTGTCTGCCCTCTTCTTTTCTCCTCAGTTCTATGACATGCTTGAGAGTTGTGTCATATGAAAGATCACAAAAGATGAATCATTTCAGAATGTTGTTTATATTTTTTTAATAATTATAGTTCAATACATTTTGTTTTACTTTTTTTGTATGTTTTGCAATCACTTGAGCTGTGAAGTTTATGAGAGGATGGTACTAGCCACGGGCGGGTATACTTATCTAGATCTGAAAATAAAATTAAACATGAATAAATGCAGGAATAGAAAGTATCAGGCGTTTGGGTGGGCGAGTGTGTGTGTGTGAGAGATACATGTTTGTATACGTTTAACATACTGCATAAGGCATTCACCATCTAACAGACAAAAGCACCACCCATTTTGTCGAAGCGACCAAAGCATAAAGAGGGAAGTATCTCAAAGGTGTTAAAGCTTAGAAGATAATTTTGAATGCAATGTCCAAAATTGCCAACCAGAAGTTGAAGACACTCAGGGTGACGAGCCGCGATTTGGTTCCACTTCCAAGGCATCTGGTTTACTGAGGGAAATCACTTCCATGTTGAATCATCCTAGTGTATCCACTGACGTGACTATTTGACAGTAGATGAACTATTAATAAAGAAAAAACCTGATACACAAAAAGATGCTCAAGTTCAACTAATCCTCAGAAGAAAACGGTCATAACACAACATGCTACATGGAGATAAAGTACAGTACAAAGACAAGCAGGTGGTGAATATGCTTCGAGAGATCATGGTATAAATAATATGGTTAGATCCTAAATGCGACAACCTCAATAACTAATGTGATAATCATAGTGCATTGCTCTGAATATATATGTCTTTTTATTTTTGAAAGTTTCCTTTACATTGCCAAAATTATAAGACTCAGAGCAGAATGCATACCCATCTTGTCTGGAGCATATATTGACAACCAACAAGAAGATCTCTGAGGTTAATTCTAAATAAAGGTTTTTTAAGCAGAAAGGAGACCCAAAATAAAAATAGAGGAGTAAAATTCATCCTTGGCAGTGATAATGACAGATTGATGAACTTTGTCTCCTGGAAATGACTACCTTAATTCTTGCACCAAAATGCTGTTGTCTTTATTCATCTCATTTTCATCCACAAATTAAAAGCCATCAAAATGCTGTATACTTATAAGTTGGCCCCAACCAATCATGACTTAAGTAAAATTAGCAACTGATGAAAAGAGATAGGATAAAATGACACTATTCCAAGCATATTAGCAACTGCTGAACATGTAATGTTACCTTGCGAGAATGGCTACCAGATTGTAATAAATGGGCTGAACATAAAATGGGCTAATGGCTCTAAAACTGAGACTAATGGACCACAAGATGCGATAATTGGGCTTATGAGGAGTAGACTAACATGGAACAAGCCATTAAGGTATTTAGATGGAGAAAGATGGGAGCTCGTAGCAGTGAAGATTATTATGAAGACTCCTCCCTGCCATTCTTCTTTTTTCCTGCTGGCCATCATTGTCCTTGTGACTGTGGAGTTTCCCTTGTTCCCTTCATGTAGCCTGCAGTTTTTCATCTTAGCTGTTATTGCTTCTGGTCTTCTTCGTCTCTTAGTGTTGTAATTCTCAGACTTGCTGCATACACACACAAAGGACAATAGATTTTGCTTTTGATTCATCTTGCAATTATATCTGTTAAGCTCTTATTATATAGAAAGAGTGATCATAACACAGATGAAGACCCCTCAGCAAGAAGAGGACGAGTAATTCCAAACATGTTTCTTGCTTTTGCTTCAAACTATCTCAAAACACTGCTTTCTCCATTTCTAATATCATAACCAATATGGCCCTGCCTCTACTTTTGGCCACAATTCCATAAGGTTTTTCCACATTTGTAGAGCATTATTCTTTGCAATAGTAGAAAGATATCAATCTTCAATAACAAGTCAAAGAAAGACTAGTTGATTTCTTTTCTTATTTGGTATCCCAAAAAAAGAAGCATAATTCTAACCCTTTTACCTCTCACTCTAGTCTAAGATTTCTTCACTCTATTTGCTTATTTTTATATTTTCTATATCATTAATTTTCATTTTTTGTCAGGATGAGGAAGGAAAAAGGTATATTACACCACATAATTTGTAAAGACCTGAGCCACACAAATGGGACAATATTATTATTTATGTACAACCATGCCTGTAGATAAGTTTTAATTCAAAATGAAATATATTTTCCTCATAAAAAGTGTTGTGGCCCCAAGAAAACTTCAAAGAAAGTGGTGCAGCAAAAACTTCGTAGCCTTTCTAGCTTTGGTAGATTGATATGCCTCTTCCTCCTCCTCCCCGCATTTGCGTTTTGTGCCGGTTAAATTTACAGCTTCAGATGTTGAAGGCTCCATCTGTTTATCAAATGACTCACTGTACATTAAGTATACTGCCATTTTCTTCACAGTGAATCCATTCCCAAAAGCTGCTTTCACCTCCACTTGGTCATTAGGTTCCAGATTTGATATTATTTCTTTCATCTCTGCTTCTTCCAAGGATTTCAGGTTGTCTTCCGTGTAGAGCAAAGTGGTTGCCTTTGTATAATTTATGATCATTAAGCAAATTATACAGGATTCATATGCCTTGTTTTCCAAATCACCTGAGGGGTAATATACAAAACAAATAGTCATCCCTTTTAAAAGATCATGACCATTAACTGGGGGCAATTCAAATTTTACACAAGCTCCTTCACCCTTAAATGTTAGCCAATACGGGTAATTGTCACCAGGAAGAATACAATCATCACTATGCTTTGTAAGATTCAATCCCTGCACAGTAACAGAAAAACATAACTTCTAATTTAACTATATAATATGCACGCAAAATTCTTTTTAAAAAAATCCAAATAGAGAGAACCTGTGAAACCCTCTTTGAAAGTGTACAAAAGACTTGAGAATTCTTTCCAATTTGAATTAAAAGATGCTCCAAGCATTTTTTAATTGTCGAGATGTCCGTGCAATTTGTAGCACGGAAGGAATCTAGAATCTCCAATCTATCTTTCAACAAAAGACTCTGTTGCTTTCGTACACTGCTAGGGACTGTTGAAGAAACGGGGATGCTATTTAGCATATTCGACAAAATTGATGATGGCATGCCCATATTTGTCATAGCATGAGGTAGTGGATTATTTGTTGGGGACATCCAAGATTGGAAGAGAGAAGGAATCACACAACGTGCTAATCCTTCATGACCATAAACAGATAGATTTAAAATGCTTTTTAATCTCACCAAAGAGTAAGGCACTTGTTTTATTGTAGGAGCAATTAGAGTTGTCAAAGATTCCATTTGCTCTATGTCCTCCTCAAGCTTTTCAATATTCAAACAACCATAAAGAATGAGAGTTTTTAAGCATTTTAATCTATAAATGTTTCTTGGGAGGCTATGAAGGCCAACACAATCCTCCAAATCTAGTAGAAAAAGTTTATGAAGATGCCCAATAGAATCATGTAGCATGGACAGACTTGGACAGTCTTTGAGGATCAACTTCTCAAGATTTGGTAGTTTTGAAAAATCAGGAGTTTGTTTCAAGTGAGGAGAGTGACTTAGATTGAGGATTTTCAACATCTTCAATATCTGCAACGAAAACATATTTCAAAGGGGAATTAAAGGAACATCCTGAGAAATTTAAATAATACAACACATGGAAACAATATGTAAAATCCTTCACCTAAACTGAAGACTCTCAAGTGCAAACATTGTTTTCAATCAATTGAAAACTAACTCTTCAAAGAAAAAACATACTATATATCAATTACTTAATCTAGAAAAAGTAACACATATTTCAAAATAAAGCGAATTTGAATTAAAGAAAATCTAGTAGCTTGATTCTTCAATAATAGGAATGGAACATGGGGAAAAAATCTAAGATAAAGAACTATCCAGAAGGCTGTAAACGATGAAAAATAGAGTAATATATTTACAAGCCTCAAGTCCCTGTTTTATTTTCCACATATCCATAAACTTGGAAGCTAAAATCAACAAATTAACTAAGCTTCTTGAGTCAAATACTGGCAAAAAAAAAAATTATTACGATAAATTATTTACCATAATGCTGCAAATTTGAAGTATTTTGGTAATTTTCAGAGAAACTAGGTTTTCTATCATATAGCAGTTTGGCTTTTTTCCCCTCTTATATTTCAATTTTATTTTGATAGCTGTGGCTCAAAAAGCCAACAAACTAAGTATAAATTTACATACCTGAGATTCCTTCCACACTTTTTTGAGACTGCTATTTTTTAAGTCAATAGCAACTACTTTCTTTTGATAAAAGTTGCTAGGAATGTATTTTAAGGGAAAGCCATGCCAACAAAGCCACTTGAGATTTTTACTGATATATGTGTAGTCTCCTTTAAGCTGTACATTATCAAGATGAAGCAATCTGAGTCTCTTCATCATCTTAAATGCTTTTGTTTCAAAATGCATCTTTTTACTTGGTGACAACTTCAAAGATAGTCCTTCTATAGCCTTTGTTCCCTGAAAAAATAAAAACATATTGAAATCAAGGTGTTCACTTGTGTTATTTGTTTGGCGAAACGCAAAATAGAAACATTTATGTCATAGTCATGCTCATAAAGAATGTGACTACAAAATGAGTTTTAAACATTGGATATAAAAGTTCCTACCGAGGATTCTGATAATACAGCTCGTGCTTCCTTATAAAACCATAACCTGCTTTTCTTTCCAACCTCCTTTTGAGATTGTTCACGAAGTATTTCTCTTCCCATGTCTCGCAGCAAATCATGCATAACAAGCTTGTTCTTCTCATCAATGGTTACAAGACTTCGCTCCAAAAGCCTTTTGATTCCAATGTCAGCATAAAATCCACAGCCATTTAATATGTGTGTCATTTCAGTTTTGTCCATCCCAATAAAGAAGCAACATATATCGAGGAATATTTCTCTCTCCAAATCATCTAAACCATCATAGCTTATTTTTAGCTTCTTGTGTATCTTTCTGTCGGGAATTCTTTTAAGTTTGCTCAATGTGCTCTTCCATTCCTCCACTTCTTTGCCAAATAAATAAGAGCCTAGGACCTCAAGAGCCAATGGAAGTCCCCCACAGTATGCAACTATATCTCTTGAAAGGTGAATGAAATCATCCTTGGGACTTTCTTGTTTAAATGCATGCCAGTTAAAAAGCTCAGAAGATTCCCCGTCATCCAAATTCTTCATCATATAAACACAACAATCCTTTTTAGGGAGTAAACTTTGATTTCTAGTTGTGATGATTATTATACTTCCTGGTTTAAACCAGTCACCACTTCCAACTAAAGCTTTTAGTTGGGCCAGCTTATCCACATTATCAAGCACAACCAACGCCTTTTTATGTCTAAGTCTATCTTTCAAAGTGATCATTCCTGATTCAATGCTGTCTATCTTCATTTTTGTTGGCTTGCATATTTCAGAAAGAAGTTTGTTTTGTAAGTCCTCTTTACCATTTTTTTGACGCCAAACTTTTCTGATATTTGGAAGGTAACTTCTACTCTCAAAACTGGGACCAATTTCATTATAGATGGCTTTGGTAATAGTTGTTTTGCCGGCGCCCCCCATTCCCCATATCCCTAATATGACAGTATCTTCAGATGAATGGTTTTGGAGCATTGCAATCACTTCACGTACACGATTATCTACTCCTACTGGGTGCTCAGCCACAAATAAGTCTTTCTTGTCCAATATATCACAAACTTGCCCAACAATATCTTTAACATAATCACTCTCGTCCCTGCAAATCATATAAGCATAATAGGAAATGTGTATTAGATATATTAACATGTACTATTACAAATAAATAAATTCAATAGTTTGAAAGCTATATGTTGTGTTTGGAGTAAAGTAGATATTACGAATAAACACTCATTATTTCATTGCAAAACAAAATTCAGTTCACTGTGAGCACATTAATTTATTATAAGAATCAATATCACACTTGTCTACATGATTTAAAGAAGCAGAGAGAAGTTGGAAGAAACGAGAAAAAGCAATTTAAACTTGTGATTTCATTCAATGATAAGGCATCCACACAAGAGCTTATAGGGCGTATTATTTGTAGAGGGCTCTAAAACTTTCCTTAAGTAATTAAAACAAATCTCAGTAAAGTCGACTTTAGCATAAAATAATTTGAAAATATCACATTTATTAAAATAAATCAAAGATAACAAAATCATTTCTTGTTCTTCAAAAATCTGTCAAACGATCAAGTATTCTTTAAATAATTTCTTTTCCTTCTTGATCAATAAGTTCTTCGTATATATAAAATTGGAAATGGTGATTGGCTTAAGGCTTCATGTAATGCCTAAACCCACTTATAATCTTGCTTAAAGAAGGCTTCATTTTGCAGTAAGAATCCGTTCACGCAAATATGGTCAATTAGTTACAATATAAATAATTCAGAAGTCAAAAAAACAAAAATTAATTGGAATGAAGCATAACTAATGATGCCGCATATATCTTGTGCTCAGTTGGTTCTACAATAATGAGCCACGCATGATTGTGAGGGCTGGCATAGCACCACTATTATAAGTTTGATAAAATATTCAAAGAAATTGCGAGTAGAAGAATACATTTGCTAAATTATGCCAGAGAATTTTACAATATATGCAACTTTTAAAATGGTGCCACGCAGGGAAGAAATAAAAGTGAGTCATGTTCCAATTAAAAATAGATGGTGAAATTCCTGCAAATAATATAAACACATATTAGGATCCCGTTTGGTACAAAACATTGAAAATGAGGAATGGGTACTGAGATTGCAATTAAGAAAAATTATTAAAATAATATTTAGCATGGATAGTTGCTTGTTGCATGGGATTAAGCAAACCTATTGAGGTGGGATTGGAGAATACTACCTCTTTCCATAGTATTCTGTAATCCTACAAACATTAGTTTATCTAATCCCATGTAACAAGTAATCTCTCATACTAAATATTTCTTTAATAATTTTTTCCAACTCCAATCTCAATCCCTATCCCTCATTTTCAATGCTTCGTACCAAACGTGACCTAAGTGTCTCAATTAAAAGTAAATAAAGAGTGAAAAAAGAATTACCTGGAACTATGTACAACCGTCCCTTTAAGATTTCCAGCACCATCAAGGGCTTTCCTCCACTCCAAAACTAGATATTTTGATGGTGACTTCTTTTGTACAAGATCGTTAAATGCTTCTCCAAAATTGGAAGTTTGATGACGAATTTGTTTTGGACTAACATGGTAAAACACAGGTAGAACTGTCCTATTATTTGTTTCATAAAGCTCCATGATCATTGACAATTCCTCCAAACACCATTTAGATCCACCATATTCCTCAGAGAAGATGATGATTGCAATTTTTGAACTTCCAATTGCTTGCAAAAGTTCTGTTTTTATATGCTTTCCTTCCGGAAGCTCAACATCATCTTTGAAAACAATTACACCAGCATTACATAGAGCTGTATGGAGATGTGAAGTAAAATTTTTCCGAGTGTCTTCACCTCTAAAACTCAAGAACACCTCATACCTGTAAGCTGAATATTATATATATTTTAAAATACAGAATATTAGTAAATTAAATTGCTGTTCAAATTAATATAATCAAAATATTACTATGACATAAACAAGTTTATAATATAAGATTATAAAATATCAGAAATGTTATGGAAAATAATATTAATTATCATTGCGACATGCGTGTACGTGAAACACATAATGCGTCCTCACAAAACAATAACGTACCGTAATTTTCAAGCTCGTCTCGTGGAGTTTCACATATTATTTGTCTTCCTATGAGCTGCAACAGATTATGCATTCTAAGTTTGTTGTCGTCGTCAATGGTTACAAGGCTTTGATCCATCAGGGCTATTATTCCGATGCGAGCTTTACATCCACGGCCATCCAACTTACGCACCACATCATGCATGGGCTCTCCAATGTAAAATAAAACTATATTAAGAAATATTTCTCTCTCTTCACCATTCAAGGAGTAGTCAATGCTATCGCGTAGTTCCTCGCCTATGTCATCAGGTAGATCTCTATTCATCTTCCACAATATGGATTTCCATTCATTCGGTTGCTCCCCGTACAGTGAAAAATGGACAATGGCTTCAAGAGCCAGTGGTAGTCCCTCAACAAAAGCAACCACTTCTTCGCAAACATTGATGAAGTCTTCTTTAGGGGATGCTTGTTGAAATGCGTGCCAACTGAGAAGTTCAAGAGACTCTTCCTTACTCAAAAGTTTCATGCGATATGTGTCATCCACTTTAAAGTCATTAAATAGACGTGAATCTCTAGTTGTAATGATAATTATACTCCCTTCACCAAATTGCTCACGACTTCCACATAAAGTATTCAGTTGCTCCAGCTTATCCACATTGTCAAGCACAAGAAGTACCTTCTTACGGCAAGGTCTTTCATTCAAGTCGAGGCTTCCTGATTCAGTTGCTTCAAATATTTCTGAAACAAGGTCGAATTTCCTCACCCATTCATTCCTGACATTTGGAAGAAAACATGTGCCCTCGAATTCGTACTGAATGTGGTTAAAGATAGCTTTGGCAATAGTTGTTTTGCCTATACCCGGCATTCCCCATATCCCTATGGAGACAACATCTTTTGTTTTAAGGTTATGAAGCATTGTAATCACATCCTGAGCACGAGAATCCACTCCAACAGGGAACATCTTATCATCAAAACGCTTCAATAAATGATCAACAAGACCGACAATAGGCTCAATATCCTTATCATATAGAGAGCTGTAAATTATGAAAAAAGAATAGCAGACAAGGGAGCACTGATTGATTAGCATGACTACAAATAATAAAGAAGGATAATGCGGTATTAGGAGTGACACATATATTTCCATCAAGAAATTCAACACAGAATAGCGTTGTTAATTTTATCATATTCTTGCCTTCGCCGAATTAAAATAATACAAGTCAATTCCTAAAATCATAGTTCTATATATGTTAATCGGGTTACATAAATTATAAGACTCCACTGCATAGCATGAATAGAAGGGAATTATGCGTCTCCTGCGTCCTAAATTTGTTGTCTGTTAAAAGTTTGTCGCATTAATTGTGATACTAGACTATGTGCTATAGGTTTTAACTTCAAAACATTTATAGGAAAAAAAAAATTTTATATGAGTAGGGAGTATATATGTTAAAGCCTAACATAAAGGCTTTATATAATAATAAATATTATTAAGAATTAATATCAAGCTTATCTTTCAATAACTAACTAGAAATTTTTTTTCCCGATGCAGGGAGTACTATATTACTATATTTGATTAGATTTGAAATTCTTATATATTGCATTATTTTAAGTAGCTGAATATTCACTTAATTATTTATTTCTCTAATTAAGCCTTCAACTGAATTATTATTTAATTATGATTCTTTCCATTTAATCCAATATATTCAAATACCGATTAAGATATTATTAAAATTCAAAATTAATTACTAATTTTTTCATTTGAGCCTCCAATTAAAATCCTAATTAATAATAATGCTCCCTATTTAATTCAATATATTCAAATGTCAATTAAGATATCATTCAAATATGAAATTAATTATTGCTTTTTCCATTTAAGCCTCCAATTGAAGCCTCATTTGATTATAATCTTCCCTATTTAATACAACATATTCAAATCCCAATCAATATATTATTCAAATCCCATTAATTGCATATATTCGGATCTATAATGTTATACCCAACCGATTTTCTTTTGTTTTTTTTTTGTCATATACCCAACCCATTTTCAAACGAATCGGATATTATAAGATTTCAAGAATATAGTTAATAGTTAATAGTTGATGATTGATTGATTGTTATGGATTGCCAAAAAAGCCATACTACTCTCACACACACGCACAGAATATATTAGCAAAATTGAAAATAAATAGAATACAAAACAAAAGGAAAAATAAATTACCCAGACTTGAGGTGAGCAGAAACATCCAGCCCAGCGGACTTGAGGTTGAAGCGAGCAGACTCATCAATTCTAGCAACGTACCGTCTAAATTCAGAGTGAGCTCTCTCCCACCGTGAAACTTCCTCTTCAGTGGGTGAAACATTTTGTATGAGACCTTGAAATGCTTCTTTGAAACTAGATTCTTGATTCCAAACTTTAGACAGACCCACGTCACAGAATATGGGAAAAACTACATGATAATATGGCATGCGAAACTTCATGATTTTTGTGAGTTCCTCGAGGCACATTCTAGAACTAACATAGTCTTCAGATAAGATGATGAAGAACATTTTACGACATCGGACACTCTGCAATAGTTCAATTGATATATCCTCTTTGAAAACAGAATATCCCTTTTCCCTCAGAGATGAATAGAGACGGGAAGGGAAAGATTCTGGAGTCTCTTCGCCTCTACTAAAACTCAAGAACACTTCATATCCATTGCCTACAATATTTTAAATTACAAAAACACAGGTTAATATTTATCATGAATGACCATAAAAATTTTAAATATATTCAAGAAGAAAAAGATAATTCATTGACCCCCTATACCTTAAAAAATAATAATAAATGTAATGTTTCCTTTTCTTATTTTCCCCCTTTATTTTTCCTTTCTTCTTCCGCTAAACTCTTTTGGGCAAGCAAATGGGAAGTTCACTGGCGTGTTAGGCTTCTATTAAAAAAAAAAAAAAATCAATTTTGACAAAATCAATTTTGATTGGAGATCATGGTTTTGGATGAAAAACCAGGACTTTTCAAAAGTGAAATTTTTATACTTTTTGAAATAGAAAAATCTTTAAGATGGAATTATAGTTTTTTGAAAATATATTTAATCTTATATTTTATAAACATATATACACACACTTATTAATCATTAATCAATTAATTATATAAACATTAAATTTGTCTTACATATGCTGATTCAATTTTCCTAAAAATATTATGGCACTTATATATATATTTGCATATTAATTATTAATTAATTATATTTTTTATATATTACTATGTTGGAAAAATATATTATTTACTGAATTATTGCTTTAAGCAATAATATTTTATGTAATTATCACATTAACTTATATCATTTTTTAGCAATTTGCACATGAAAAAAAAAGTAATTTTAATAATAACCATCTAAACATTTTCATTTGATTAAAATCACTTTTTCATAATATCCATACTTCTATCTCTACTCAAAATAAATTTTTATAACTTTTCTCTAGAATCTATTCTCTAAAAGCTAATCCAAACATCTCCTACAAATCATTTTCACATAGAATTTTGTGTTGGTGTTTAGATAAATCTCAAAACCATGGTTTTCTCAAAACCATGGTTTTGAGAAAACCATCCAAACACCATAGTTTTTTGTTTGTAAAATCACTTTTGTATTGAAAAATATGGTTTTTCATAGGTGCATTTCTTTTTGCTTTTGGAAATATAAAACCATGATTTGGGATATACAGATATATTTAATCTTATGTTTTATAAATAGATGCACACATATATTAATTATATAAATAATAAATTGGTCTTACATATATTTATTCAATTTTTCAAAAATATTATGACAAATGGTGTTTCAAAATTTTTTAGATGAAATTATCATTTTTCTAAAAATATGTTTAATCTTATATTTCATATATATACACAGATTAATTATTAATTAATTATATTCATCACATATCATTTGTTAAAACAAAAATATATTATTTACTAATGTTGTACTTTAAATAAGATTATTAATTAAAATTTGTCTTTTATGTTATTATCACCTTAATCTATGTCTTCTTTAATAATTTGCACTTGAAAAAAAAAAAAGTAATGGTGGTAATAACCATCTAAACATTCTCGTTTTATCAAAATCATATTTTTTACAAAATTTATTCTTTTAAAATATATTCTTAAAATAACTTTTTATCAATGTTTTTTTAGAAGTTATTCTTTAACAGCTAATCCAAACAACCCTAAATACAAAATCAAAGTTTTAGCACTTTTATTTTAGCAAAATCAAGAAATATCTTCCTTTTCCTACCATATCGTTCGTGCATTTTGCTTGAAAAAAGAAGAAAGAAAAATTGTATTAAGATCCCTGCTAAGAGAAATTAATACAATTTTTTTAAAAAAATCATCAAATTAATATAAATTTGAAGTCACAAAATATCTCATGATTCTACCTATTTAATTACTAAACTATCCTTATATTCTTTTCAACTTAATAGGTTTTTTTATCCGTATTTATTAACAACTGTAAAGACAGTCACTAATAATTTAAGATGTAACAATTAACGATCATCATGATAGGTATTAACTACACATTTTCTCAGCGCTTAACAGTAAGCATTGACAACTAAAGAGGCAGTTATAAATAACTTAGAATGAAACAATTAACAATTATCGCAACAAGTATTAATAATATATGTTTTCAGCGCATAACATGGATTTGAAGTTAAATATGCTTATGTGATGTACAAAGAAAATATATTATTAATACCTATCACGATAGTGATTAGTTGTTACATCTTAATTTGTTAATGATTTAGTCAAGACATATTTTAAAAAAAAGAAAGATGAAGACAGTTTCATAATTGAATAAATGAAATCTCTTCCAAACAAATTCCTTAAATTTTCATATCAATTTAATAACTTTAAGAAACTTTTTTATATTTAGTTTTTTTGGATGGAAGTGTAATACAGTTTTCCCAAAGAAGAATCCCACATACATCACCATGCCCTATAACGGACCCACAATGTTTTTTTTGGGGCCAAGGACGAGCACATATCAGTAGTTTTCCTTCAATATTTTGTAAGTTTGAAAAGTAATTTCGTTTGGCCAAAAAAAAAGGTGATTTTGTAATTTAAGAAATCCAAAATATCACGCTAGTGAAAAAAATCCAAAATATTGAAAATTGGATTGATTATTAACCAACAACAGGTCAAGACAATAATTCAAAGTGTCAATCAATCAAATAAGGTCAACTCAATATCACGTTTCAGCTCAAAAAAAAAAAAAACTCAATATCACGTTGGTTATGATTAGAATGATATAATTTAAATAATATGTACAAAAATATTTATATAGAGAAAAATTCTAATATGCTTTGAGAGTGCCACCTCATCTAGGGTAACATTCAAACAAAAATCCATTGACGGAATGTTTGCGCATAAATTAAATCACTCATGATACAACAAACATGCTCGCATCTAATAGACTGCTATTTCTTAAAAGGTTAAGATGTATCCTACACCTAATCTTATTTTTTAACTACATCTAACATCCTAATTTTTTTATGGTGAATCTAACACTTTGATCTTATTTTTTGATACATTGATGTTATTTTTTTAGTTACATACCAAATCCTAACCGTTTCTTAAAATTCAAAATGACATTATATATATTTCAGATTTGTGGTGTCTGGATACCAAAAAGCACTTAAAAAAGGTGTTTTATAATTAAAATAATTTTTTTCATAAATTAAAATAAAATTTTACTCGTATACTTATCTTTTATATCATAAAATCATTTTTAAAATCATAAGGTTTCACCAAATCAGGAAAAAAAAAAATTAACACAATCAATCTGGTTTATAAAAAAAAAAAAGTTTAATAACAAAAATATAAGTTTGCAGCAAGGGGTAGCTGGAGGGGTCGATTCTGGCTTCGAAATCGGCTTTTGAATGCCAGGTAAGAATTAAAAAAGAAAAAGAGAAAATAAAATATGGATTATTTTTGGGTAGGGACTAATTTCTTTCGTGTCCATCAAGATGTCCATCTTTGATTTCTTTTTGATACCCATCTTTTATTTTTTTGAGCACAAGATATCAAATATCTTCCCACAGAAAGTGATAGGATAAATGGGTTACCTTGCTGGCTCAGAGGCTGATTCATCGGATCCATGAAAACTTCTTTCATTTATCCGCTTCCAAGATACTGGACTCTTGAAACGATCGATCAATCGTGTCTTTCCGAGGAGGAAGAAGAAGAAACTGTTAATTAGGGGGGAAAAAAGTGTAGGTAGAGCAGAAAGTTACCAGTGCATTTGCTAATTGACGATAAAGACCAAAGGAGAGAGAGAGAGATTTAAGGCTTATACAACTTGTGCAGGAGAGTGAATGAAATGAAACAAAGGGTTCCAGAAAGACTTGTGCATGGCAAGAAGAAACGAGGAAGCTTCATTATGCGCCACTGACTTGGCTCCCTTCAAATAATTATTCCCTCTGGTCCACTGTATAAGTTCTTCCAAACAAAAACGTAAATTAAATTAAATTCCGTGCTCAAAGTTGTTCGGTACAACTATGTTTTTCTGGCGAGGTGTTTGGTACAATTACAATGGGCCTATGGAATAGGCGTTCATATCACACGCTATTCGAGAGAGTTTCATGAAATTCTGTTTTTACCCTTCTCATTTTTTTATTTTTTGACCCACCGATGCCATCTCCATAGCATCATCACTGACCTCATCGCACTATAAAAAAATTGACTTTCAGTGACGACAAGTTGTCGCTAAAAAGTCATTGCCGTAACAGCCGTGGTTGAAAATTTTTAGTGGCGACTAAAAAGGTTGCCGATACTTTCAGCAGCGACTTTTAGAAGTTTCAGATGTTGCCGCTAAAAACACTTTCAATATCACCGTTGAAAAGCCTTTTGGCGGCGACAAGAATGTCGCCGCTGAAAGACACTTTTGGCGGCGACATTCATGTCGGATATGATATAAACCGTTCAGATTTTTTTTCCGTGTTCAAAATTTGAACTTACACTCTTTTATTAATTATCATCTCAATTAATATTTTGTTAGTAATTTAATATTCTTAATTAATTGTTTTAAAATAAAAATTATCTTTTGAAAAAAATACTAGTTTACAGATTTTTTTTATTTTCAATTCTGTACCCATTAAAATTATTTTAGACAATAGAAATTAAATTTGTTAATAAATTTGGGTGTTCATCAATTTGGGTGTTCATCAAAAGTAACGAGTATCTAAACTAATTTCTACGACTTGAATATTGGGATAGGAGCATATTAGTATTTTCATGATATAAATATAATATTATAAAAAATATAAAAAAAAATGTGATAAGAAAGTATATAAAAAAAGAAACAGAATAAATAGTTAAAACTAAAATCAGAAAAAATATACTCCTCCGATCCTTAATATAAGACCCATTTAACTAATTTGATTAGATTAAGGAAGTTAGGTAAGTTAGTTAATTATAAGAAATGTGACACGTTTTTCCTAAAATACCATAATTATCTTTTTTAATACCTCATTTTCCTCTTCTACTTGATTATGGTTGAAGGAATATCCATAGGGGTAATTTAGAGAAAATTGATAAATATGAGAAATGGGTCTTATATTTAGGACCAAAACCAACTCACCAATTGGGTCTTATATTAAGGACCGGAGGAGTATTAAATATTAAAATAAATATTAAATTAAAATTTATAAATAAACCACATGTCTTTTCAAATTTAAATTTAAAGTTATAAGTAAGGAGGATGTATATTAAGTAGAATCATCAAGATTTCTACCTTTCACATTTATATAGTATATATTGATTTGTGAGAAGTTGATGAATCCATTAATATTACCTCCGATTTTTAATAGAAAGAAAACTAATATACCTGAAATATCCTTTCGATTCCTGAAATACATTTTTGGTTTTCTTGCTCTGTTTTTCTGCTAGTCATTTCATCATTATCCTCTCTCCAGATTTTCTATACATGAAGAGTAACAAAAAAACATTCATATCCTTCCCTCTTCATCTCTCTCCATGTTTATGTGTCATCTAGAAGGAACCAATAACAAAACAGACATGTATTTTCTGGTGTGGATCTCAGCTATCATATGTATGATAACGACAAATAAATGCGGGGGCTGGCAAGAGCAAAATCGAATCAGCTGGTGAAGGCTCTGAAGTCGCAATCGTCAAGTGAATCAAAAGGGTTCATGGTCGAGCAGGCAAGTGTCCGAGGCAGCAGAGTGACTCGGTCAGGGATGTCAAGTCGGCAGTTGACGGCGACATCACCGGCGAGAAGTGAAGGAGGAAAGAACATGCACATAAGGGAGTCGAGGAATGCCTAGCTGAAGTTTGAGCTGGACAAGTGAGCAGCGTCGTGGCTCTGAGCCGAGCTCCGAGTGCTAGCTAGCTTGGGCCTCTCTTTCTTCTGCACCAGTTCCAACTGAGTGGGGAAGGAGATGGCCGACTCGAGAGAAGACATGCTAGCGCTTATCACCCTGAAAGTAACGGTGTTATAATGGAATGAGATTAAAACTGTGCAAACAACAAGCATAGGATAACAAGGGGAAAAAAAAAATATAAGGACTCATTTCAAAATTTGATGAAACCATGAAAACTGGCATATTAATTTTTCTTTTAATATAAGACAAAATTGACTAATTTAAAAAATTTAAGAAAACTAAAACATCACTTAATTATAACATATGTTAGTGATCTCTTTAAAAAAATTTATATGTGTCATTAAATTATATATCAATTTATAAGTTGAACAAATTAGTTTGAAGAAAAATAATAAATATAATATGTTAAAATAATTTATTTAATTTTATTAATTTTTTAAAATTAATTAAATAGGTCTTATATTAAGCACTAGAGGTAGTAATTCAATAGACATTTTCTTTCTTCTGGCTCAATGCTCACGGTTGTCTTAAACAAACACGTGATCTAATTCCCATGTTTTTACTGTGAGCTAGAATTAACAAAATATTAGAGGGAATGTTGCGCGTGAACTCCACTTTGCTGGATTGGCCATGTATAATGCCCCTTGCATGTATTTTGATGTTTGAGTAGTGAATTATGGGCACAGACGTTTATTTGTTTCAGAAGCAAACTTTTCAATTTGTAATATTTTATATTTGTACTTGTATGCACCTTTTATTTGGATTTTCTATTCATATGCAAGATGAATGTTTGTTATTCTCTTGTACTGTATATATGTTTGTCCGAGTAGAACTGGTCTTGAAGATTTTTCTCCATGCGTCAATCCCTTTGTCAAAATGCAAATGGAAATGGATATTTAAAACAGATTTAATGATTAACTACTAGTTCTGATAAATTAATTAAAAGTGGTGCCTTTGTTGAGTATAAGGAAGTTGATAAAATGGAGATGGATATGAAAATAGATAGATGGAAATAAATAGGGTTTAAAAGTGTGTTTGGTCTTTTCATGAAATCTTGCATCTACACCGTTAGATTTAATGACCATTTTAATAGTAAAAACCTAAAAGGCTAAATGTCAAACTATAGGAGTTAAAGATGTGATTTTTAAACTTTTGAAGACGAAGAAAATTTTATGCAATAGAACTAAAGTTAAAGGGGATTATATGTATTTTGGCCTTTTTTGTATAAGAAATATTTTCTCTTATAGTGTTATTTCTAAATATATAAAAAAATTATTTGAACTTTTAAACTTGTCTTTCTATTTTTATTCTCATAAATATATCTCACTTATTATCTCACTATAATAATTTTTACTTATTATTTCTCTACAATAATTTTTCACTTTTTTTTACCTTTAATGTATTTTCTGTAGTCTTTATAAACAAAAATATAATTAAAAATATATATTTTTTATATATTTTTATTTTTAATTAAATTTAACAAATATTTTAAACTGTATGATTTTAATAGTGTCTTTAAAAAACAAACGGTGGAGTAACAATCGAATTTTCCTGCTGGTCAAAAAAAACAATCGAATTTTCCTGGCTAAAGTTCTTTGCCATGCAACTTAAGGGAGACAAAAGTTCTTTGGTATACACCCTATAAAAGAGCACGGGCTATGAACTTTCGAGCAACTCTCTTTTCTTCTTTAGTTTTTGTCTGGATGAGTTCTTCCATTTTTTTACTGTTCTGCTCACCTTGCTCTTCTAAGAAGAATTTGTTTAATCTTAGAGAGTGCCACATCTTACTTTGTCAGTAGTTGCAGAATAGCTTTTAAAGATAATGTCCATAGGACATGACTAGGATTTAAAGTTTCTCTGCAAGTGCTGCCATTAACAAGATTTGCATAGCATTATAGAAGAATTGGAAAAACAGCTGAATTTTCAGAGAATTTGGGTGGTGCCGTCACCAACTAAGACAAGTTTGGTATGTTGTTCCGGTGGGAAAAATTTTCATTTTCCATGAAGATGACATTTTTCCTTGTACATAGGAACAATTTGGTGTAAACAATTTTCCATTGCCCGCCCAAATGTGTGAAAGACAAATTTATCCCTAAAAAATATAAATGCGACGACACAGCCTCCGTCTGAACTTTTCAAGGATCCCTCCAAAACTTCCACGACTTCCATTGTTGCATTTTTCACTTTGAGTAGATGTCCAGGTCCATCAGACATTCCTATCTGTTCTTCTGTTCAGCTTCGCTTACTGTTTGTATAACATGTTTTGCTTCAAATGCATCAAGTTTGACAAGGTTTCTTCTCCAACACATGAATTGTTTGGATTTGCTGATCACTCTGTTTCATCACTTGAAAAATAGAGGTGAACAGAATGGGCTGATGTACAGAACACAAATTCGAATTTTGTTAACCTTGCAGAGTAAATTCGAATTTCATTAATAAATTTTAATTCCAACCTTCATAATGGTGTTGATCTGAACTGATACAATATCCAGGAGTCATAACGAAGTAGTTGCGACGTGGGTTTTTGAATTTGAAAGAGGGAGTTTGTGCAATATGGTATATGGGAATAAATTCATTGAGGTTGGATTCGCAAGATTTCCGACACGTTACTGTTTAATATTATTTAGTTGTTTATCTAATTTTGTTATTGTTAATGACTGTCAGCATATGAGGCCTTTCGAAATAAAATAGATTTGATACGTTAACTTGACAAAACGCAATTTTTTTAACATTTATAGTAGTTTTTAGTGAAAATATATAATTAAATTTTATATTCACATTGAATATTTATATTTATTTATTTAAATCATAATGTATTTTTATTCATTTGTTGAATTATTGTATTCATTATTGAATTTTAAAATTCAAACATGAATTTAATCAATAAATACTCATTAAGGGTAATACAGTCATTTGCATGTTTTCGCTAGCTGTCTTACTATCATTTCCGTCCTACTGAATGCTCTTTCAGTCCTAAATATAAAATCCTTATACACACTAATATAAGGGTCTTATATTTAGGAGCAAGGGAGTACAATATTTTTTATCAAACTATTTTCTATTTCAGTGTGGCAGTGTCTACCAAACATGTCTTGGGTTCGAATTTTTCTATTCCTTTTCTTTTCATTTCCTTCTATCTATTTCCATTCCAATTAAGTTTTTTGTACCAAAGGGGCCCAAATTCCCTGCAAAATTGTGAATAAATGATATTGATCATTTAAATTTTAAACAAAAGACTTGTGGCGTATTTGGTTTCGAGAATAATGGAAAAGAATAAATGAATTACATAATTAAATCTAAATTTCTCCTTACAATTTTTTATTGACAAGAGCAAAAAGAAGGTATAATAAAAGGTAAATGATTTTTTTTTTTACTTGCCCTTTTCTTTATTCGTCTTAATAGAAATGCATTTGCATTTCGCGCTCATCACAAAACGCCCATAATTTGAGTGTTGGCCAGTACATTGATGTATCTTTTTTTTTCACTAAAAAAATTATATATATTAGAATTATTTTTAGTTAAGATTGATCTAGTACTGTGAAATATTTTTTTTTCAAATGTATTCAGTATTTTAAAATATTTTATGGTATTCTGAAATATTTTTAAAGTATTTTCTGGCATATGTTCAGTGTTCTAAAATATTTTGTGATGAGCCATTTAGAAAAGTATTTAAAGATCTAGAATTTTAAAATATTTTGTTGTTCATTCACTATCCTAAAATATTTTTTATGTGCATTTATTATTCTAAAATATTTTATGACCAGACCTCCCTGAAAATAATTTCAGGATCTAGTATTCTAAGATTTTTTATGATTTATCTAGTACTTTGAAATATTTTTTCAATATTACAAAATATTTTGTGATGTAATACCATGAAATATAAAATATTTTAAGACACTAGATAACTATAAAAAAAATATTTTAGGGTACTAGATGAATTATAAAATATTTTGAAGTATTGAAAACATCTAAAAAATATTTTAGAGTGCTAGATGAATCTTAAGCAAAAACAATTTTAATACATATAATTTTTTTGTAGAAAAAAAGAAAAAACCTAAGGCAAAAAAAAAACAAAAAAAATATTTTAAGTTACTAGATACACATAAAAAAATGTTTCTCGGATATTAAATGAATCATAAAATTCCTTAAGGTATTCAAAATACCTGAAAAATATTTTAGAGTATTAGATGAACTTTAACCAAAAATAATTTTAATACATATAAAATTTTTTGTAGTGAAAAAAGAAAAAAAACTAAGGGGAAAAAATAAAGAAAATATTTTAAGACACTAGATATACATGAAATATTTTAGAATAGTAAATAAATCATAAAATACTTTAAGTTATTAAAAAATACCTAAAAAATATTTTAGAGTGCTAGATAAATATTAACAAAAAATAATTTTAATATATATAAAATTTTTTGTAGCAAAAAAAAAGGAGAAAAATGGAAGAAAAAAATATTTTAAGACACTAGATACACATGAAAAAATATTTCAGGATACTAGATAAATTA